TCTCTCTCTCTCTCTCTCTCTCTCTCTCTCTCTCTCTCTCTCTCCCTCTCCCTTACACTCCCCAACCACCACCAATACCCCTGTCTCCCTCCTCTGCCCCCCTGTCGCCGCTGACACTAAGCGGGATGGAGAATGCAGGATGCAGTGAGGGATGCTGACTTTGGCGGGCGGGGGTGGTGGTACAATAAGCATCTTCTGTGTTTTCTCCAGTCGCTGCTGCATTGCTGAGAAACTAGCTCAAAGCCCGCGGTGGAGGCAAAATAAAGTCGACAGCGAGACAGAGATCCAGCCAGAGAAAAACCGAGGTGAGGGGCAGTCGGAGAAAGATGGAAAGAGACAGAGATGCACACACAAACTCAAAGATAGAAAGAAAGAGTTTAATAAGCATCCCAGGGTGGCGAGAGAAACCAACTAGAGAGTGCACACATTAGAGACATAGCTTGAAAAACAGAGAGAGACAAAAGAGACAAGAAGTGGAGTGTTAGAGACCAACGACAGAGAGGCAGACAGTGATATACAGAACTTAGGCACCGAGAGAAAAACCACAAGGGGAGACCAACAAGAGAGACAGAGAGGAGAGGATCCGAAAAAGAGCAAATGCACACGTGCCAGTGAGAAACAAGCCAGAGAGAGAGAGAGAGAGAGAGAGACCCATAGAGATAGAACCCGAGAGAGACACTAAAACAAGGGAGTTGGAGAGACTCTGAGACTTGCAGAGACATAGCTAGCGCTATTGAACAAATGTGCTTGAGAACCACAGAGATAGATTGTCGGGGAAATTCATGAGAGAGGAACGGAGAGACGAGACAACATCAGACATGGAAAAGCTGGAGCATTAGAAGGACAGGCGGTGACAGGCAGAAAGAGACAGAGACGGACGCCACTGGAAGAGACAGGGACGAGTCTGGGAGAAAGACAGGAAGGACAGGCATACATGCAGCTACAGAGAAAGTGGGCTGGTGAAAGAGACACTGAGAGACAGAGAAACTGAGAGTGGGAGGGAGAGATAGGAATAACAGAGAAGGAAGCGACAGAGACTGACAGAGTGACTGTGCACGTGCTAGTTAGAGACAAGAAACAGAGACAGATGACAGAGTGAAAGACAGGGATGAGAGAGCATCAGAGGACACGAAGAGACACATACACTCCGAGAGATACAGGAAAAGTGCGCTAGCGAGACACTGGAGAGACAGAGATCTATGATTGTAAACAGGCAGGTACAGAGAGCGCACGCGCATGCGCCAGAGGGAGAGAGCGAGCTGAAGAGACCAAAAAAACTCTAATAAGACAGTGTGGGAGACGCGCTAAGAGCTCGCGCGCACGCGCTAGCAGTAGAGACGGACGAGTGGAAATCAGAGACCGTGAAAGAGTCCGGCACAGAGACCCTGAGAGCTGGGGAAGGGGTCAGAGAAATTGCCCTGGCTGGGGCTGTGACCGCTCAGGGAGCTGAGGGTGGGATCCTGCTGGACTTAGAGCGTTCCTGGGCAAGGGACTAACCCCGCCCGCATGTTTTTTTCATTCCCAGCAAAAACACTGTTGTGCGGTCTTTACACCCCTTCGCTGCCCACCGGTGACTTCACTAGCCCTGCACCCTATCTTGCGCCTGCCTGCAATCGCCATGACATCCCCTTGTCCCAACAGCACGCGGGAGAGCAACAACAGCCAAGCGTGCATGCCCCTGTCCAAAATGCCTATTAGCCTGGCTCACGGCATCATCCGCTCGACCGTGCTGCTCGTCTTCCTCACGGTCTCCTTCATTGGCAATGTAGTGCTGGCGCTGGTGTTGCAGCGCAAGCCGCAGTTGCTGCAGGTGACCAACCGCTTCATCTTTAACCTCCTCGTCACCGACCTGCTGCAAATTTCTCTCGTTGCCCCCTGGGTGGTGGCCACCTCTGTGCCTCTCTTCTGGCCCCTCAACAGTCACTTCTGCACAGCCCTGGTTAGCCTCACCCACCTGTTCGCTTTCGCCAGTGTCAACACCATTGTTGTGGTGTCCATAGATCGCTATCTGTCCATCATTCACCCTCTCTCCTACCCATCCAAGATGACCCATCGCCGTGGTTACATGCTTCTCTATGGCACCTGGATCGTGGCCATCTTGCAGAGCACACCCCCGCTCTATGGCTGGGGTCAGGCTGCCTTTGATGAGCGCAATGCCCTCTGCTCCATGATCTGGGGGGCCAGCCCGAGCTACACAATTCTCAGTGTGGTGTCCTTCATCGTCATTCCACTGGTTGTCATGATTGCCTGCTACTCCGTGGTGTTTGGTGCAGCCCGTCGGCAGCATGCTTTGCTGTACAACAAGAGCCACAGCTTGGAGGTGCGGGTCAAGGACTGCGTGGAGAATGAGGATGAACGGGGAGGAAAGAAGAAGGATGAGTTCCAGGATGAGAGCGAGGTCCACGGCCAGGATGAAGGTGTGGTCAAGGCCAAGGAGGGCAGCGTGGAGGCCAGTGTGGACCCCATGGAAGCCAAGGACAGCAGCCTGAAGGCCAAGGAAGGAAATGCGGAGATCATTGAGGGTATCATGGAGGCCCAGGGCACCGAGTTGGTCAGTGACAGCCGGATGAAGGGTAAGGAAGTTGGCACCATCGTTGAGGAGAGCAGCATGAAGGCAGACAAGGGCCGTGTAGAGGTCAGCCAGTGCAACATCGACTTGGGTGAAGATGACCTGGAGTTTGGGGAGGATGACATCCATTTCAGTGAGGATGATGTCGAAGCAGTGAACATCCCAGAGAGCCTCCCACCCAGCCGGCGAAACAGCAACAGCCACCCTCCTCTGCCCAGGTGCTATGAGTGCAAAGCTGCTAAAGTGATCTTCCTCATCATTTTCTCCTATGTGCTATCTCTGGGGCCCTACTGCTTTCTAGCAGTCCTGGCTGTGTGGGTGGATGTCCAAACCAAGGTGCCCCAGTGGGTGATAACCATAATAATCTGGCTCTTCTTTCTGCAGTGCTGTATCCACCCCTACATTTATGGCTACATGCACAAGACCATCAAGAAGGAAATCCAGGATATGCTGAAGAAGTTCTTCTGCAAGGAAAAGCCCCCCAAAGAAGACAGCCACCCAGACCTACCTGGAACCGAAGCTGGCACAGAGGGTGGCACCGAAGGCAAGATTGTCCCTTCCCATGATTCTGCTACTTCGCCTTGAAGTTAGTTGTAAGGCAAATTTTGAACTGTCCACAAGACAGTAAACAAAAGCAGCTTTCTTTTCAATGGACCACCCACACTCCCATTAATGCTAATACATCCCATTTCAGGCAAAGGTGTCAAACACACATTCCTTTTCACTACTAGGTAGATAAACACATGAAAAAGTGGGAACTTGGGTCAGTGTGCCCCTCAAAGCATGGACTTGAGGATTCTGACTGAAATTCCCCCCCAAAAAATTATTAGGCTCTAAATTTCTAAAAGCAACAAGGGCTATCCATATTGGAACTGTACTTGGTATTCTGCTTGTGTACCCAGAGCTACAACATGCCAGCTTTGGCTCTGAGGGGAAAAGAAAGATGATGCCTTTGGACTTAAGACTATGTAGCCCTCATGTCAGGAGCTCATGGACCAGGGCTAGAGTTTATGTTCAACTGAAAGAAAAGCAATGGACCAAATCATTCATGGAGCCCAAGAAACAGAATCTGATAGACTGATCAAAGTATGAGTCAAATTCGGAAATGAAGAGATCCACAATCTGGTGCAGACTTACACAAATGAAGACAGAGGCATTCAGTAGTTGAAACACCAAGAAAATTTCTAGATTTCCTAAAGGGATCCAGAAAAGTGGAAGGGCATATATGAAATGGGAAGCTAGTCCAAGGGAATGGACGGAGAAATAATGCACATCCATGGGGCCAAACAAATGGTGTTTTTTCCTCTCTCTCTCAAATACTGGGTTTATACATGGGCTGGGACTGAGTTCTCTCCATGCAGATGGAAATTTGTCAACTGACACTAAAATATTTTCTCTTGTTTGAATAATAGTGGGACAGAAATCATGGTGTTATTTTATAATTTCCCTCTCGTGACTAAATTGGAGTGCTCATGGGAATCCACCAGATCTCTGTCCATCACTTTTGCTTTGTTTTATTTCAAATAAGCTTTTTGTTCAATCGGTATTTCCAGAAAAATATTTCAACTAAGAGTAGCCAAAATTCTTTAAAAAGCTCACACTACTTATTAAGAGTGATATGCCCATCAGAAATCTCTTTTGTGTCTATGAGTTCATAGACAAGAAGTAGAATAATGTCCACATGGGGAACAAGTAAGGCATTTGAACATTTTCCTTTCTCCATACACACCCATGTCTTTTCAACCTGTGTCCCTCTCCAAAGCTTTTAAGCTCTCTCCAGGAGAAAAATATAAGAGAGTCAGAAATGACAGAGAGAACAGATTTACAATACCTGATCTATTCCAAACAATCTGAAATCAAAGCATTCTAGTTAGACCTCTCCTAATTACTGCTGTTGACTTTGGAGAAACCTGTAGAATAACTACAGAGGGAGAGTTTTCAAGTCCCAAAGGCTGAAATCACTTTGGACCAGGGTATACCTGTGAATTTTTGAGGGCACAGGACCTATCTAAAGACCAAATATCATGGAACCAAAAAAAATAGTGATTTGAAGATGAAATTAAAGCAGCTCTACAGCCAACTAGCTGGTCATGAAGAAATTCAGTGTTAATATGGTGGATGGAGAGGAGGGAATATTTGGTTGAAAAAATGGTTAAACAGGTTGTTGTGTATAAAGATGGTCATATTCAGATTTTAGCCTCATCTTGTGTGATCACCATGTCTTTATTAGAACTCATCTTTTCATTGATATAAATGCCCAGCTCATTTATATTTTCTTTTATCTCTTCCTTCTCACAGATTCCAACATGCGCTTCTCAAGGGGGAGAGGTAAACAGCAATGTATTGGGGCTGTGAATAAGTCTGCCTGGAAATTTGGGGTTGTCATGTTCAGAATGTAGAAAATAAGAGGGGATAGTACTGAATAAAATTGATCTGACCTGTCAAATCAATATATTCATGAAAACCATATTAATTCCAACTCCATTAACTTAGAACTTGTGGTGATTCAGACAATGCACTGGGGCTGAAGTTCACCCTCACACTATCATTTATTTTTCTACACAAATTTATAAAGCAAATTAATAGTCATAAATTTATTATACTAATTTATTTCCCAACTCTTGAATTGACCTGTCTTTAAAAGACATAGGGTGAAGGAATGGCTAATGTGGTCGCTCCTCTCGTGGAGGGAGGGGTATTGCAGGACTATAATCATCAAAGGAATCCAATGTAGCTGCAGCCTGCCTTTTGGGTAGAAATGGTTGTTTATCTGAGTAAGAAACAGAATTTCAAACATCAGTATGTCCTACATTTTGTTGAAACTGAACTTCTTGTTTTATTTTTAAAGCTCAACCTTTTCAAAGTGTATCAGAGAAAATTGTTTGCCAAAATCCCAAACCAAAATGGAACCAGAGCCTGTACAAGTGTGGTAAGTCCATTTAACATTCTCCAGAGTGCCGAGACTCACCGGTTCCTTTTAAAGTTCCCTATTCTAGTCATCATCCCTTCTTTTGGCAAATTGGATTCTTCAAAGGGTGAAGACCTTTTGAAAATAGGAAGCTGGAAACGAGTACCTTTGAATTAAGGATATTCTGCTTTGATGACATTTTCTTCTTAATGAACAATAGGGCCTCTGGTTAGCTTAGAGATAGCAACTGCTTCAAATTTTGTGCTATTTTGAATAAAGCACGATCAACTTAATGAGGTTTTGCTGCACATACTGTTTTGCCATTTGAAAATCTGAAAGCACACAAAAAAATGTCATCATTAGCCTCACAGATCCTCATGTGCAATAGCTTTCCCTAAATGTTTTTAAAGGATGTATTCTTTTGCCAAGGCCACTTCATATGTGCAGTAAAAAATCCCATTAAAGTGCGGGGGCCAGACAAGCCAGACTTTGAAATGATGTGATTTTAAATTTAATGATTTCCTTATTTAAGAATAATAGAGCATCTAGTTTGCCAAGGAGTCGCAGGTGCTTTGACTAACACACCAATTTCAACAAGCTTGGGAAGGCAGAAATAAGGAGCAAACCCTCGGCTTCTGTGACTTCTATGATGCGAGCGTCCTTCTTCTCTAAGACATCACAAATACCAGCTGCTGGCAAGTCCTCAGCACTTCCAGCTCCCTGCCTACCTCTTGCCACCATGCCCACTGCCTTCTCCTGCTTCACTCTGTTTCCCCCTGCTGTGCTGGCCCTTCAGGAATACCCCATGCTTGAAGCTCTGTGTGCTGACTCACTTTCCCATCCATCCCTTCCAAACCTAGAGCTATGAGATTCACAGGGACCTGGGGGCCACGGAAGCAGGAAGGAGAGAAGTGAACCAGAGAGTGACCAGCAATTAAAGGTATTTTTCTGTCTTCTCCCCAACTCCAATCCAATTTAGAGATGATGGGATACCTACTTCAAATTCAACAGGTAAGGAAAAGTGACATTGAATGATTTAGGAGGAGGTAGGCACCTCATTTCTTACCAAAAAAACTATCTGATACAAAATAGTTTCAGAGCACATTCAATCCTGTAGATACTGTCCAATTATTTCAGCAAAAAAAGCACTAAAAAACTTTTTCCTAGAAAATTGTAAGGTGCCTAACATTGCCTTATTTTATACATAATTAGCCAATTAAGATAGCTAAAGTTTTCAGAAGAATTTTTCATACTACCTGAAGAATAATTTACATGACTGAACTAGGCTTGCTTTCTTAGATTTTGCCAAAAAGCTCTATAAAGTGTCGGAAACACACCATTTGAAGGAGAAAGATTATGCATCCTCTAGTAATTCGAACTCCCTAAGATAAAACCCTCAGGGGTCGTTGGGACAAAGCAGAGAGTAACAATTTAACCTACTGGACCATATTTTTCTCTCATAACTGCCCTCCCCCATATTTTGAGGGAAAAAAAATCAACCTTATAATGTGTTTTCTGTTGTATTCCTCTTTAAGACAAACCCCATGTTGTCAGGAGAGCTTTCTCTAAGTAAAACAGTCTTTTCCTTCTATAGCAGACAAAAGATTAAAGGAACAGTTGGCTGCTAGCCAGGTGCCAAGATAAGGAGAGAAAATCTGGTCAGTCACAGCTTCTAACCCTCTTCCTCCTTATCTCTGTCTCTTATTTTCTGTGGGCTGGACTGGTGCTCTTGGCCCCTGAAAGCCCCTCCAAGCTTAGGCATGAGAAGACACAAGCATGAGCTAGAAACGGCAGACCATAGCCTAAAATCCCCAAAGAAGAGAAACCGTTGCCACAATTATGTGCAATCCTTTATGGCAAATGCCCAGCTTGCTTAATACCAGTCTCCTGCTATAAGAAAAAAAATTAATGAATAAATAAAATAAAAATGGCCAGAGGAAGAAGTAAGAAAGCTAAAACCAACTTGGCCACTGACTGCCAGGTCCCTGGCAAGTTCACTGCTTCTTGGATCAGAATCCTCAAGGTAAATGAAGGTTGCCAATAGGAGTTAGGTATTTCCATCATTGCCTCCCAAAGCCTCCATATCTCAGAGTATACACACCAAGGGGAAGCCACATGAACTTGTATATTTACAGAAGGTTTGCTATGTCTGAGGATTAATTACTGTATATTTCTTGTTCTAAAATAGATAAAAAAAAGATTGGTTTTAGTTTGGTGCTTCAAACTTGAGTGGATTTCCCCCCCTTCATCTGTATTACAACTTTAATGTTAAAAGTTTGGTATTTTCGTCCTGTTTCAGTGGTGTATTCTCTTTTGTAGTAATTCTCTTAAATGTAAGCTATAACTGTATATAAAATATAAGTGTTCTTGAAGATAAGGTGCTAGATATTAGATTGTTTTTGTTCGTAGATAGTGTTATTCTCAAAAGTGGGTAGTATGTACATGTAAAGTTACTTAACAAAATGCATGCAGAATTCTATGTGACCACACCTTGGTCAGTTTCTGAAGTAGAACATAGTACATTTGTTTTTTAAATTTTATTTTCAAAGTGTATACTACAGGATATGTAAGATGGCTTCAAGGTGGGGTGGCGGGAAATGGTGCCTTTCATTCCTTAAATCCCTGGTACGGTATATGGCAGGCAAGAACTTTTTCTGGTACAACTGGTCATTAACATGAATGGATCATCTTAGATGAAGTCCTCGCTGGCAGTTCTCCACAACCCCCTTGGCACTGGTATGCCTGTTTTCCATTAACTGAATGTGTAGAATGCAAAATCGAAGAAGACAATACCTTCCCCATCACAAAGCAAGGACCCCGGATAAGCAACTGGAGTCCTGTTAGCAGGATGGAAAGAATACTGCACTCTCAAGTCCAAACCAGTAACCAGTACCTGACAGTGAAATGACGGGATTTGCATTTTGCAGATTCATTGTGACCATCTCTGTCCTCCTAGAGCAGCACTAAAACCCAGAAAAAGGCTGCTCTGGTTGTTTTTCCTTTGGTTGGTTGTCTGAGAGACGAGATGGAGCATGCATGGGTAAACAAAGAGGTGGTGGGACTCCTCTGGGGGTCATATCTATGGTGTTCGCGAATTACAATTGTAAATCAATGCTATTTGTAACATGAAAAAGAGAACTATGAAATAATTTTATTATATTTTCAGAACAAAAATATTGCAATGAGAAAACTATATTATATATATATATATATAAAATCTACATATATGTACCCTCATTAAATCATTTTAAAAACTGCCTTTAATGCCAAATTTTATGTGCTACTTTGAGACTGAGAACAGAAAAAAATGCACTCAGTCAATGAAACAGTTTTCTTTAATACTTCACATTTTAAATTTAAACATTTCTTTTTCCTTTTAAAAAAGGATTTGTAATTTAAAAGTGCCTTTTCAAAGGATTGTCACATACAATCCTGGGGCCAAGTTCCCATTGGCACAATTTACCTTCAGGTGCACAAAAGGGGTGGACTTTATCCTCCTCCCCTCAGCAAGAAGAGAAACCCCTTCACACCCCAATCAAATTCATGAATCCATACTGTTACATGGGCCAGTAGTCCCAGAGACTCTGTCCCAGGGCAAGGTTTCATATATTGGTTGGCTTTAATTGGATCCTTTCTAAAATGGTTACAACGCAGTTTTTACTGGACAAGAATAACAGACTCCTGCTTGGGGAATGCAGAGAGGTTGATGTTTGTGATTTAACTAAGTATTATTAAATAATGTTTGTGTTTCTTAAATAGGTGCTGTTAATCTGTCCTTGGTATATCCTTCTGAAATATGCTAAATAAAGTCAAATTTTATGTGTGTATCTGGTTACTATGCTGAGCTCCTTGAGAACACAGTGACCACCACCCAGGGCTAGGTTTCCATACCTTCTCCTTAGCTCAAAGAGAGGAGGCAGAGAATAAGCAACTTGCTACTCCACAAAGTAGAATGAAATAGATGAACTCCCACATTTCTCATTTCAATATTCCAATATAAACAATATGCAGTGGGAAGAAGGGGTTGCCATCAGGAAGGGCTTGCTGGGAGAGAAGCATTAGTCCTCTATGAACAATAAGGATTTCAGAAGGTGAGGGTGGGCAGAGAGGGGCATGGAGCCACATGGCTTGTGACGCTCTCAAATTCTAAACTTCATTCCAAAGGCAATGATGTTTAAGCAGGAGCGGGGGGCACTGTTTTTAGGTAACAGCACTACCCAATACCTGTGTCACCTCCACTGGGCTTTACCATCTGTTTCCTATTACTACAGCCTAGAACACTTCCCTCAGCCCATCTCAGCTCAGCCTGGCCTAGTTCCCCACACCCACCACAGTTCACCCCCAGGGTTTACAGAACAGGAGGACAAGAGCAAGTTCTCTTAAGCCCCAGTTTCACAAAACAGCTATACTTCTAATGCAACCATTACATGTGAAAACAGAGTACACAGATGAAACGAGAAAATACGTCTGAAACTTAAGAGCCCTAGTTCCTCTTCAGTCAAAGTAGTTGACCTGCTAGCAGCCCCTCCTCTGGTACTCTATGCAGCCCCATTTCAATCAAATTAATGTGCTCTCTACACTTTTCACTCCAGAATCAAGCTAAATACTGATTTACACACTTTCAAGATGTTCAAAGATGGCTGCCTCGAGACTTGCATGTAGCTGCCTTCACCTTAATCTGTGAATGACATCCAGGTAATAGCTTTTTTCTTCAGCAGAAACAAATTTCCCTTTCTAGCAAACTGCTACTGTCCATGCAAATAAATGGACTTGAGAGCTCAAATAAAACTATCATGAGGCAGTCACCTGGTGGGAAAAGAATTCCCTGAAGCTCAATATCCCACTGTTTAGTTCAGAGCATTTAGAGGAGAGTGGAATGGGTTCCAGTGAGCCTCATAATAACAGTTTTAACTCTCAGGCAAGGCTAAGGGTCTAGCCCTCAATTGTGAGACTGAATGGGAAACTGTTGAATCCAAAACTTCCACTGTCAGGAGATCTTTTGTGACCTTCTGTGACTGCTCCTTATCCCATGACTTTGTTCTAGACCCAAGGCCCAATTTTCATCAGCCAAAGCCCTGACCCTTCCAATTTAGGCAAAGGTATACTACTGGCTAGTAAATTATTTTATCTTCCATGAGGCAGCTAGTCAACCCCTACTTCCCCTCACAGTGTCTTTCAGAACATAACTCTCTGACCCTGTTCCTCCTCATTCCAATCTCCCTTCCAAGGGCAACATGAGCTTTTTGAGCCCTGCACACAGAAATGAGTATTCCTCATTTTTAGGATGGCTTTGAGAATGTTCATGAATTGAAGAATATGTGTAGGCATTTTCTGAAATGTTTTCCTAAGACTTATATTTTTCAATAAACTTTATCACAGAACATTTATGACCGTTCCCAAAACTGCAAACCTGAGGGTATTTTCATACACATATACAACATTTGGGGAGTTGTGACACCTGACTTTTGTTTAGTTGAGGCAAACAAATCTAAGAAACTTGACTCCAAAGATTTGCTATCTACAATTAAGTAAAACGTGAACATTCTCAACCTGTAAAGGAGAATAGGTAGAAATAGACCACCAATAATCAGAAATCTTCAGACTTAATGGAGGAATAATACTGATATTCAAAAACTCTATATGGGAGCTGCAGATGTAGCTTAGTTAGGATTTATCCCCACCACCAAAACCAAACAAAACTCTATATGGTAAACCAATGTACATATTTTTAATGATCATCCTGATACAAAAGTGTAAAATAGCTTGTATAAACAACTTCAGTTAGAAAAATGCATGTTTTCCAGGTGCAGTGACACACATCTGTAATCCCAGCAGCTCTACAGGCTGAGGCAGGAGGATCTTAAGTTCAAAGTCAGCCTCATCAACTTTGCCAGGCGCAATGGCACATGCCTATAATCCCAGCAGCTCTAGAGGCCAAGGCAGGAGGATTGTGAGTTCAAGGTCAGCCTCAGCAACTTAGCAAGGACCTAAGCGGCTCAACAAGACCCTGTCTCAAAATAAATAATAAAAAATAAAAAGGGCTCGGGATGTGGCTCAGTGATTAAGTGTCCTTGGGTTCAATCCCAGGGAGGAAGGAAGGAAGGGAGGAAGGGAGGGAGGGAGGGAAGGAGGGAGCAAGGGAGGGAGGGAGGGAAGGAGGGAGCAAAGAAGGAAGGAAGGAAGGGAGGGAGGGAGGGAGGAAGGAAGGAAGGAAGGAAGGAAGGAAGGAAGGAAGGAAGGAAGGAAGGAAGGAAGGAAGGAAAAATACATGTTTAACATACGATCTATTTGACAATACTTCCAGTGGACAATAGCTCCAAAACTACTCTAATGGAACTATTAGATGCTCTGAACAATATGAGAAAGAAAAAGGAAAAGAAAAAATGTTTTTTCATATGGAACACCAGTGTATTCAACTTTAATATTTTTAAAAGAGATGTGCCTCCCTGGCTCTAATTGCTTTAAATTAAATACTTTTATCTTTTCAGGGAACTTTGACTTTGAATAAATATTTGCCAACCTGTTTTCTTCCATATTATCAGTATTTTGTGTCATACAAAATGAGACCAGACAATGAGATTTTTACATTTATATATAATTAAAATTTATATAATCAGGAGCATACACATATATCTCTATTGATGTTGATACAGATATTCAAAAGCAAGGATGATATGCCTGGAAGCCTTTGGGGGAAACTCTTTAATCCACTTTCACCACATTGAAGACTGTAGTCATAAACAAGAAGCAGGGGGAAATCCAACTGTCCCTGAAATAAAATGAAAAAGATCTTTGTTAACCAGACATCATAGCAAATCAAAGTAGCTTTCTCAAGAACACCAAGGACATGAGTTTTGAGGTGGGCTACAGAATCTCCAAATCTCAAGACCTGTACATTGTCAAATGAAAATCACCAGGCTCTCTTGCTGAGCAAACAGGATGAGCAGCAGAGCCTGAGCAGTCACCTGCTAATGGGTGTGAGAATCCATCTGATTGAATTTTTCAGGTCTCTAACCAAAGTCAAAAAAATAAAAAAATGAGCAGTTTAAGTTCTCCATTTCAAAGACATCCAAAACTAATTTCTGATACAATAAACTTCTTACAACGTGCTTCAGTTTAGAAAATGTAAGAAACAATTATCATTACATGTAGCAAAGAGAAAATAATCTATTTATATGCCCAGATCATATATTAGCATTCAAAATCAAGTTTTTATATTATTAAACTTGAAAAATATCCCATGGGAATTTATCATAAAGAAACAACACCACAGAATAAAAACTTGCCTACAAAAATATGATCATAATACTATGGTTTACAACACTGAATAATTAATTACAAACAAACCAAATACTCCCAAAGTAGATGAATATCTAAATTCAGCCCTAAGTGCTCAACAAAATTAATATAGTCATAAAAATGTAAAGACTGTTTAGCAGTGTGTGGCAATCTTTATAATGTGGTATTAGGTAAAGAAAGCCAGCCCTTAAACAACTCCCAGGCATCATACCAATGTGAATATTACATAAGCATAAACATATGGAATAGACAGAGCAGAGCATGGACAAAAGAAGATACTTTTCTTTAATACATTATTTCATTGATGTTTATATTCCAAGAAAAACTTTCAACTGGTATTATCTTTAATGACTTAATTAAAGAAAATTCTAATAGGATTTCCAGATTCCATAGTCTAATGGGGGTATTCAAGACAACTCATCTAGGAAAACATTTTCCTCAAAAACAAGATCATGGGAAGTTTGAAGCAGGTTTTGGTACATTTTTCTTTGACAGCTGACAAACTTAAAATAAGTTCCAATGCAATATATCATCATACTACCTGCTTCTACTCCTCAAGGCTCCTTATGAAGACCCAGTATAAACTGGGTGCGCTGGTGCATGCCTGAAATCCCAGCAGCTTAGGAGACTGAGGTAAGAGAATCACGAGTTCAAAGCCAGCCCCAGCAAAAGTGAGGCCCTAAGCAACTCAGTGAGACCTTGTTTCTAAATAAATTTTTAAAAAAAAAGGCTGGGGATGTTGCTCAGTGCTTAAGTACCCCTGAGTTCAATGCCTGGTATACCTCCCCAAACAAAAAAAGTCAGTATAGTATAGTGATTAAGATGATGGACATAGAATGACAAAATACTGCAGTGTCTAACATGGAGTAAGTGACAATCTTGCCAAGCCTCTGTTTTCTCAGTAGAAAAATGGGATGATAGTAGCTGTTCTTACTCCAGGCTTACTTCTTTCTTTCTTTCTTTCTTTCTTTCTTCAAAAAAAGCCATTTTTATTAAACAGACAGATTTTCTAAAGAATGGATGTATATTGAACAAAAATGTTAGCAATATTAAGCCCTAACACTTTTTGAATATTACATATGCCAAGCCCTGTATAGGAGCATTGGAGGCATCATCACATGGAATCTATGCAAAACCCCATTGAGGTGAGGGCTGTTACTAACGCCATTTGGCAGATAAAAACTGAAGTGTGGAGGAACACATAACTTGCCTGAGGTCATACAGCAAGAAACTAGAACTCATGATCACTATATTCTATAGAATTTTCAGTAGAGGTACAAGCAGATTGTATTAGATTTTTCAGCCCCACTCTTTTTTTTTAAACTGGGTGTTTGTTTTTTTTTTTATTAGTTGCTCAAGACAATACAATGATCTTGATATATCATACATTTGATTCAAATGCTGTATGAATTCTCATTTTTCCACGTGTACAGATTGCAGAATCACATTGGTTATACATCCATGTGTATACATACAGCAATCCTAGTGTCAGTTGTATTCTGCTGCCCTCCCTATCCCCCCTCCCCTCCCATCACCTCTCTCTCTACCCAATCTACTGTGACACATTTCTCTCTCTTTTTTTTCTTCCCCCTCACACCATCATACATGTAATTTTGTATAACGATGAGGGTCTCCTTCCATCTTCCGTGCAATTCCCCTTCTCCCTCCCATTCCCTCCCACCTGTCTTCCCTGTTTAGTGGTAATCTTCTTCTCATGCTCTTCCTCCTTACTCTGTTTTGAGTCGCCCCTCATATCAAAGAAAACATTTGGCATTTGTTTTTTTAGGGATTGGCTAACTTCACTTAGCATAATCTGCTCTAATGCCATCCATGTCCCTGCAAATGCCATGATTTTGTTATTTTTTAGTGCTGAGTAATATTCCATTGTGTATAAATGCCACATTTTTTTTATCCATTCATCTATTGAAGGGCATCTAGGTTGGTTCCACATTCTAGCTATTGTGAATTGTGCTGCTATGAACATTGATGTAGCTGTGTCCCTGTAGTATGCTCTTTTTAGGTCTTTTGGGTATAGTCCAAGAAGGGGAATAGCTGGGTCAAATGGTGGTTCCATTCCCAGCTTTCCAAGGAATCTCCTTACTTTCCAAATTGGCTGCACCAATTTGCAGTCCCACCAGCAATGTACAAGTAAGTGTACGTTTTCCCCCACATTCTCGCCAGCCCACTCTTAAAAACACTACGAAAGAAGTGGTAGGAACAGCCATTGCCAATGCTCTCCTCAAATGGGTTCAACTCCTAGATTGACTGGTCTTGAACCAAAACAGTCTTGATTTCCCCATTTACTCAGTGGAAAAAATCTAGGCTTCTTTTTCAAAATCTAGTGATTTCAAAGATTTAGGAGATGTCAGCTGTAGCTAACATGTGTCTGATTCTAAATCAGCTGTGATTCCAATTTGCTGCCTATATTTCCTATAAGTCACTGAAATGTCTATAAATTCTCAACTTTTTGATGCTCTCCCTACAACACATAATTGTCTCATATCTGAAACATAAACCCCATCAATTTCACATTGTTGTAATAGTCAGCTGCGTTAAAGAATCTGGACTTTGGAGTTAGCTGTATCCTCCAGCTATAGGATATAAAGTAAGCTACCTACCTCCTCCATTCCTCATATGTGAAAAGTAATTGTACTGTCACCCAATTAAGGTTTTTCCTGAGAAAAAGATAAGGATATCAGAATCCCTGTCAGAACAGGCACTCAAGAAATGATAGCTATCATATATGTTCTGATCTGGGGCTTGAAATATGTAATTACATGGGCTGTATCCAACTTGTATAATAGTCCTCAACATTGATTGCACATTGGAATCAACTGGAGATATTTAACCAATACTATTGCCTGGATCACAAGCCCAGAAATTCTGATTTCATTTAGTATCAAGATTTTGAAAACCTCTCCAGGTGATCCTAACATGCATCCAGGAGTCAGAACATCTGGACTAATATGCCCTTTCTTCTTTTTCCTTTCTTTCCTTTTTCTCTTCCTACCTTTCCTTGTAAACAAACATAGGTAAGTATGAAGAGAGGTGGGTAAAATTACACTTCAAAGGCCAAATGAATCATACAAATTAAAAGCAACTTAAAGAATTTAGAAAAATTAAATAATTTTCCACAGCCCAATTGCTTATGTTACAATTCAAGAGTAGATAAAAGAAGATGGGACAAGAGAAGGAAGAATTATCACCCTGAGGTCTTTGCTTACTTTTGCCCCAAGTCAGAGAAAGCTCTAAACTGATACTAGAAATGCCCTAGCTGCTTTTTCAGTTCATAACTTTTTATCATGAGGTCAGGTGATACATATCCAAAACACAACTCAACCACAGGATTGAATGAGGCAATTCAAGACCAACAGAGAAGCTCATTTCAATCTATATCTTCCCTTTTCTACCTGTAATTTTATGATTAAATAAATTCCCAATCTGATCCTAGGACTAGCATCCAATACATATTTCTTCTAAGGTTTCCCAATGTGGTCATACATGTACAATAAAAAATAATGAAAAGAGGGCTGGGTATCTAGCTCAGTTGGTAGAGTGCTTGCCTCACATGCACAAGGCCCTGGGTTCAATCCCAGCACCATACACACACTCACAAAAACCTAATAATAATGAAAAGAAACTAGCTAAATAAACCATTTTGCAAGTCTACCACTTTCTATTCAATATATACAAACCTTTAAAGAGTCTTCCCACAGCCACAGTGGGCACTAAATTCCAAGACCTGGTAATTACAGAAATTTATGGCAGTGAATATGGCAGAAGGATTTTCCTAAAGTTGGAATTTCAACCATTGCACCAAATGATAAACAGAAGTTTGTTTAGAAAAGGGCCTTGCGGCCCTAACTTCCCACTGCCATATTTGATTCAGCATTCCTAAAGTACCTTCTCTGAGCCTGGCACTTAGCAGGTAGTATGAGAGATAGAAAAGAGGCCCTGATAGGGAATAATCTCAGTTGGTGGCTATACGACTTCATAACACTATTTATATAGAGGTCACAACCAGAGACAGAGAAGTTACCTTAAATCCTATCCCTTTAGCACCCAAATCTTGTCAGTCACAAAAAATTGCAAATTCCAATTCCTTTTTAATTCATCTTCTCCATCTGTGTGTCTATCTCCATAGACACTGTATCTTCATCTCTAATCTGAAAAACCTCCAGCTTTCCTCTCAACTCCATCCTCCATTCTGTCAGAATGATTGTGATATTTCCAACACACAAAAAAATTGGTTGTTATACCCTTACTTAAAAACCTTTAGTAGCTCCGCATAGCAAAATTACTCAAGCTGTGGAGTATTGGAAACTTCTTAAGCTGTTAAAAATACAAATCAGCAGGGATTCTGATTCAGGAGCTCAGGGAGGGCCCTGAGAACTGATTTATTGGTTTTAGTTCGTTTCAAGAAATTTCCACAAGTGAATCTGATGCACACCTAAATTTGAAAACAACAAT